CATCAATGAACCTTCATCCGACTCGCCGAGTCGTATGAACAACTCGTCGAGTTCATCTTCAAACATAAGAAGATTGCCTTGGACTCGCCGAGTCTGTAATAGCACTCGTCGAGTCCCATGAACTCCAGGTCTAAAACTAAGTCCAATGTGTTGGGTCACTCTCTCTGTCCTGCTACAACCCTTCTAACACCCAACTGAGTTCTTTGACCCTCAACAGATATGGGACTCAAAGCCTTGGATTCGTCGAGTCCCAAGAACGGACTCGCCGAGTCGATAACGTCCACACCCTAAATCCTCGATTTCTGATGTACAACACTTGACCAAATGATAGATCCAAGCCCTTAAGCTCGATCTAGCACGTAAAGTTACGAACTTTACGTGCATGCATTGGACTTTTGAGCTTAAAAGGCTCTAAAATAACTCTTATGTTGCATGGGGCCTTCCTTGAGTGCAAAAGCCACCCAAATCTGCCTTGTGACCCCTCCCAAGACTTAGATCCGAAGTCTTGACCCCCAACCATGTTTGCAATCATGGTTGGCTACCTCATATGGCTTAAAAAGCCCTAAATCTTCCCCAAAAAGGGATCTCACAAACAAGCAAGCAAGGTACAGACTTTATACCTTCCAAAGACTGCAAATGATGAACCAACTCAAATCCTTCAGTCTCCTCTTGATCCTTCTATGCTCTTCCTTCTTCCTTGTGGTCAAAACCCACAAAAATCATTCAAAAGCCTTAGATCTTGCACCAAAACACTTAGGGTTTGCTATGGAGGGATTCTGGGAGCATAAAGGGGTGATGGAGGCTGTATAAGGTTGTTTAAATAGGGTGCAAACCCTCAGATTAGGGTTTTGTCCAGTCAGAGCCTACTCGTCGAGTCCGGGACCCGACTCGACGAGTCCATCATTTAAATCCCGCGTCTCATCCCGCTTCTACTCGGCGAATTGGTCCTTCAACTCGCCGAGTCCAAGGCCAAAAATGCAAAATACTTAAATAAAAAACATACCAGAAACCAGGTGCTACAGAAAGCCTGTTTTCGAATGAGTTTCCATGCATCTGTAGCGAATATTAGAAAAAACACGTTACAAACTTCAAATTTTTATAATTTGAAGAAGATACAAACGATACTTACTCGAGTTTTCTTTGAATCCTATGTGAAGTAGCGTGTGAATAATGGTGGTTCTCTTCCTTCCGTTATGATAAATATTGGAGTTTGAAGAGATAATTTCTCAAAATGAATGTCGCGTTCTGTAAATTCCATTTCCGTCATCTCATCTTGATTATTTTAACATACCATAGAAATCAATTGAAGAATCTAAATATTTTCTTAACAGACTCTTCTCATAATATTCAATTTTAGCTAAACAAAATTATTATGTAATAGCTCAAAAATCATTAATTTAACGTTACTTCAATAGAATTTTTTGGTAATTAAAAGAACTATATAACTAATATTCTAATTGTCAAAATTATCAAATATATTAGCTCTTTAAATCTTACAACAGAAAATTAATAGAAATTAACATATATATCATTAGCAATTTGTACCGATCGAACTTGTTAGTAGCTAAATGTGTTTGTACCAATTATACTTTGTAGTATCCATAGCAAAAATTTTATATCAATTATAATTGATACGGTAGACATAGACAGTTTACCATGTTAACCCATAAATATACATACACTAGCAAATAGTGCCACATGGTTTATGCAATTATCTTTTTTTTTTTTT